TTCACACTTGGTATAAGTCAGAAATTAAATCCCAATATGAATATTATCCAGGAGTAATATACATCAATGGATTCATTATGGCTTTGACTACCTTTAAATAGCAAAATTTGCAAAAATTAATGCTGATTGAATCATAAAATACCTAAAAAACACAAGCAATTCTTGATTTCTCCATAAGCCGCCGTGTTACAAAATGCCGTTGGGTTCACAAATGGTTCACAATTTTCGGAGCACACGCGGCTCGGAAACGCCTGTTAATGGATTGGCTTCATCGGCGCTCCAGTACCTACTTTGCGACTCTGTTGTACTCTATGGCTTTTCCTCACCTCAAAATCTGTTACCGTACTTTCACCTCGTAAACTGAACCAATCTCGATGAAAAATACGTCAAAAAATAATACAAAAAATTAGCTATTAGTTATGGATCCGATTTTGGAAATCTTCGCAGGGAATTTGAAGTAATAGACGATTTACTGGTCGCTTCAGAAAAACGACTAGTGGTGCTCTCTGCGCGGATACGAGCTGTCCCTAGATCACTTGGAATCACCTTGAAATGATTGCAGTAAAATTCCGTTTATAGGCGGCCAGTTGCTCCAAATTACAAAATCTATAGACCGTTAGAAAGCTGAGAGCAAGAGCTTTTTAATGGTATATTTGGATTTCAGTTTACGATAAGATTTGTCCCTGTAAAAAATTGAAATCTCTTCGATTTCGTGATTTTTTTGAGAAAAAAAACCGAAAAGTCGATATATTTTTCGAGGAGCTCGACCAACACATTTCGATTTTTGGCTAAAAACATAGTATTTTTACCCTACTTGAAGATGCCGAAGAGATCAGAGATGTACACTTACTTTTAATGTAACTTTCCTTTAACGGAGCCATGATTTGTCAGAAGGTGATGTCCTTCTTATGAAAGTGTCAGAAAATGTCATCTAAATATATTTAAAAATGTTTAGGTGGTTAACAATAATGTCGTAGCAGTTGGCGGGGAAAAAACCCTCAAAACTTAGAATTGAAGAACGGTAAGAGAAAAAAATCCTTATAGATGAATGCTTAGAACTTTCAGTATTACGACTTATCAAGAAATATTACATTTCAGGACACTTTTCGACCACTTTCAGTAAGATTAAGAATGATAAATTTTCAAGAAAATATGTAAAAAAAAAAAAAAAAAAAATGTAAGCCACAAGGCTAATTACAGTAAAGTTAAGCGCCAAAAAGTCCTTCTTAAAGCAAAGCAACTTGCGGTGTTATTAAATTTATTATAGGATGAGGTTCATGAATAATATTTTGACAAATGGAATAAAATGAAAAGTTTTACTTAATGTCAAGACTTGAACGGGGCAGGTGGTTGGTGGCACCCAGGGTTGCAATTTTTCATGAAAAATAAAATCTTGAAATTTCACGTGAAATATTTCATGAAATTTCAGAAAAATATGAAAAATTGTGAAAAATTAGATTTTAATGATGTTTTTTCATCCCCGACATTGAATAACGAGGGATATAAAAGACTATATCTCTGCTTACTTCTCAAGGTCGCATTGCAGCCAACTGTATCAAAAATATTATAAAACTTACAAATTAATAGCTGTTTTTTCATTGGCTGCCTACTCAAATCAATTAAAATCTCACACAGGTATGTTGGGCCGAGGAGAGAGGATAACTTCCACAAGAGGAAGAAGGAAATTTCTTAAAAATTAAGGAAATTTAGCTTTTTTTGGACCTTATGTGATTCCTGATGAGGTCATTCCTTTCATTCTAAAATTGTTAGATTTAATGGAAGTTGCAAGATTCTGGGGAGGGGGGAACCAATTATGGCACCCTTCAATGATACCAGTGTTTTTCTCATGACATTTCTCACAGGAACCTTCAATTTCAGACAAAAAAGACTGCCCCAGTGATGTTCCTGCTAGGTTATATGCTCAGATTTATATGTTCCAATTTTTCCAATTTTTCATATTTTTCACAGGTTTGTGAAATTTCATGAAAAATTCAAGTGAAATTTCCAATCTTTCATATTTTTCATTTCACGCTCGCAACCCTGGTGGCACCCACCCACCCAGTTACCCCACGAGGGGGAAATTTCCATGGTACCTAACTGGGCATCAACCCTTTTTAAGCCAGCTTTTTCATCCAATAATGTTCAAATTGCTCACGCATTACATAAATTCATCATTTTTGAAGAGGATTTGTCCAAGTTGAATAAAATAACTACTTGGAGTGGATATGAGACTCTTCCCGGGAACACTTCTGGCGTTATTTTGAAAAAAAGCTGTTCAATTTTCGGTATTTCACCATTCACCGATTTTTTTTTTTTTTTTTTTTTTTTTTTTTTTTTTTTTTTTTTTTTT